TATGTGGACCATAAGAAAATGGACAACTGCATGGATTGACCCCTACGGACTACGAGTCAACACCCGGGTCAATCGGATTAGAGTTGGATCACATAGCGGCGTCTGCATAGTTGGGTTTTGACTCTTTTTCTTATTTATTACTAGTAATCACTCGTGTGCGATGCACGGAAAAATTATAATCTATGTGCTTTTTAGAAGACAATTTTGTATATAAATTGGGTAATAATACAATGATCATAAGATTAGACATATAAACATATAATTAAACTGAAAAAATCATATATTATTGAACACTTCTCTATATACAATATTATTGCTTTGATTCTTTGGCAGATTATCTTACTCACAAATAAATATTTTCAAACCTTTTCGAATAGTGACACGAGAGACAACAATATATAACTGGTCATGACTGAACACTGTTTTCTTAAGAAATAAGCCAACATGAGATAATGATTGTCAATGTCTCTTGTTTATAGTCAGCAACATATAACTGGTCATGATTGAACACTGGTTTCTTAACAAATAAGCCAAAATGAGATAAGGATTGTCCTTGTCTCTTTTTTTATAGTCGTGGCGCAAGAAACCATATAGAGAACTGTCATATTTCTTTACATGTGTATTTAACATGTGTTACTATTATATTAGTTGTTTGGATAACCACAAAGTTTTGTTTTGTTGTTGACTCTATCAATCCCAAACTCTTACCATTTTGATGATAAAAAAACATTTTAAATTGTGTTATGTTTTAAAATTTTAAATAATTGTTTATTTTTTTTATTTTTTATAGTGCTAGAGTTATGTACCCCAACTGCTCTTTTTATTATGTATAGATTATTTACTTGAATGTTATTTCTTATAATTACTTGAGTAATGTGAGGTGTTGATATTATTTATTACATTATCACGTTTCATAATCAACTCTTTCATGAAAAAAAATTACAACATAAAGAAATATTGTTATTTTTTTATGTATGGGGCTTTAATATTTACAATTAATTTCTAAATTATTTATTTTATACACTGTATTTGTTGTTCGGAAATTTGAATTATTACAAAATCATACAGTTAGTTCTGCGTGGTTATATTATTAACTTAAACATTCGAAGACAAGAAATGTATTAAATTAATTCCTTTGTTCAATTGTATAGGTTTGATTTTGTTTCATTTAAAAAAAATAAAGTGATAAATGTTTGTTATAATTTACTTAACTTTTAACATTTATATTAATAAAAAAAGTTAAAAAAGAAAGAAAAAAAAATGAATTTCCAATGTTTTTATTTATAATTTCATTTATTTCGATTACCAGTTTTATGTATTAAACATTAATATAATTAGATACATAAAAAATGTGGTACAACATTAGCCATAAAAATCAATATCATTAATAACCAATAATATCCAAATATAAAATCAAACAAACTGAACTCCAATATTAAAACCTAAATTATTCATGTATTCGAAGCCAATTTATTCAATAAAAGTATTCAAAGCAAATAAAATCCTAATATTAGAATAAAATACTTTAGTAAACCAATAATATCTTAGCAAATCAATTCTTCATCAAAATTGTCCTTCATTTCATCAT